ACCCCATGGCCTCATGTCTTTGCTGTCTCCTGAGAGAAACGTGGGTGACCAAAGCTGAGCCAAGAGCACAGCGGTTTCACGGAGATGCCCGTGCCTCTCACCAAAGAAGACACTAAGGGCAATATTTTAAGAGCCTTCAGGAAAGATTAAACTTTAAAATTAAAGATTGTTTGAATGAAGAGCAGAGAAAGAAAAGGCAGCTGACCCTCTCAGAGTGGTATTGACAAACAGCTTTGGGCCTTCAGGAACAAAAGCAATGATGCATTTCAGGCCCAGGGAGCTTCTCCTCCTCAAAAATCCTCGGAAAGGAGAAAAGAGCCCCCATCTGCACCCCAGTGTGGTCCCACACTCCTGTTCAGAACCCTGCTGTGAGCCACTTTCCACAGGATGGATGTGCTGGATAGACCAGGAGCAGCAGGTTCTCCAGCCAAGGATCCCAGCCCTGGATCCMGCTGGCCACATCTGTACTGCCCAAAATCCCGCTGGGCCAAGCAAGACTTCCAGTGGTGATGGGAGAATTCTGTAAATCCCATCCTGGGCTCTGGCAGCAGGCCAAGCAAGAGTTTAATCTTTGTTTGATCTGCTTTGATCTCTCACCTCGCTGCCAGGCTTTTTTTTTTTTTCTCTGAAGCTGCAGGCCACAAGTGAAAAACTGAGGTAGAGGGGTTCCAGGGCTGAGTCATGATATTATTTTTGCCGTTTCTTTGGAAATACCTGACCCTACTTCTTTTTAGGGGCACTTAAAAAAGCAGTACCACTTGGTACCCCTCCCGCCACAATCTATATTTACTGGCATTGACATTTTTAAAGGGCTCTTGGGAGGGAGCCTGTGTGGGTTCTGGGGGCACTTTCCCAAAAAAAAAAAAGAAAAAAAAAAAAAGAAAAAGGAGAGGGTGTAGCTGATGTTTGTGTCTCTGTTAGTATTTGGCTCCTAAATTTATGCTTCCAGAGAAAATGACCAAACTGACTTGGACAAGCCAAGTATCACTTCCTAAATCAGACATGTTTTACAAGAACAACTAAACAGTCTATTACGAACAGCAAGATCATCTGACATAAGGTTTTCCAAGAATCCACGGATGTCACTGCACAGGTGAAATACCAGTTTAATTAGTTGTCCTTTTAATTGTATATTATACTGATATTAATGCAGTTAAATATTTTCTTTTGGGGTGTGTGTGGGCAGACACCTGGAGTACAGATTGTAACAGATCTCTGTTATCTCTGGAAAAAACTCTGCTTTTTGAACATGAAAGAACACGCTGATTTCTTCCAGCTTTGCAGCCACATCTGGAAGGGGAGCCCCTCCTGATGCTCYGAGGCAGAAGGGAGAAAAGCTGACAGGATACCAGCCCGGGGAAGGATCGCTTCCTCCTCTAATAGAGGAAGCTGGACTTCTTCTGAATTATTTAGCATTCAGTCAGGAGATAAAAATACACTGGCTGGGTGAACCAGTGACCTCTCCTATGATCACAATAGCTGTAGTAGATGGGGGGGCAGGAAGAGCCTACAACTGCYCAGCTCCCTGCTCTCATCCCGAAAGGTTTGATCATTAATGGAGATGGAATCTCCACCTTGCTGGGGATGTGCTGAGACCCCAGTCAGACACCTTTCCCCATAGCCTGGAATGATTTGTCACCCAAAATCCATTTAAATGCTGTTTCTTTCACTCACTGACACGCAATCCTTGAACAAGCCGCGCTCCGGGATCGAGGAGCAGGAAAGCATCACTCCAAGAGGCAGCACTGGGATAAAATGTTCCATAACAGGACCAGCATCTCTTTGGGCAGCATGAGTGAGGTGTTTGTTTAAATGCACGGCAGCAGCGTGGCTTCAGCAGTTAAACTGCTGCTCTGTGCGCTCTGGGAAGGGGGGACATCAACAGATTGCAAAAGTCTCTCTGGACGCTGCAAACAAACAATGTTGTTATGTAATGAGGCCTTTTGGGAACCGGGGGAAGGTCTCCAGAAGATCAGGGCCCTCCCAGCGCTTTCTAATTTTACTGGGACTTACCAGCAAGCCAGCCCTCTAATAATAGAGGCTTGTGCATGCTTTTCTTTCATCTTGATGTCTTCCTTTACTGCCCTACCTTTGTTATTACTGCCCCAGAAAAACACATCTTACTCACTTTCATCAAGCTGATTCACACAGACTTGAATGGCAGAGCTGAAGAGGCACTAAAGACCTTTAGAAAGGGCAGCAAAGCCATCYCTTGGCCAGCAGAGCATGGGAAAATCTGAAATTTTAGGACTTTATTGAATCCAACGTGCTRGGATACTGCACCGTTCTACATAAATGTGGCTTAGCTGAAGCACAGCGCTATCAAGCAATGCCAGAGCCAAAAGTCTTGAGCTCCATAATCCACACATTGTGCTGATTTATCTTCTTTATTGGAGCCAGTTCTTGCAAGGGAAGATGCCTGTGAGCAGCAGCTCAGCATCAGGAGCACTCTGTGCTGCAGGGTTCTGCTAAACTTGTGCCCAGGCAGAACAYGGGCCAGCAGGAAATCTTCTGCCAGTCAGACTGTGCCACCCAGCACCTGAACCTGGATTGTAGCAGGTTTTAGATTAGAATCTCCTGCTTTTCATGATGCCTTAGGATTTTAGCTTCTATATTTTTCATGTGTCTGTAATCCTATAATTCTTTAGTGTGTAACTCCAGACTCCACAGACAGTGCTGAGCTCCCGCTCTCCCTTTTTTACACAAAACAATTCCTCTGCAGGCCCAAACTCAAGGACACCTCACTGTGCCAGSCCCCAAGAGATGGAAACAACAGAGAATTGGGGGAGCCAGCTTGGAGTCAATGACTGCATTGGCTGCAGCTGCAATTGGAGGRTTCAGCCCCGATGTGCAAATGGACAAAAGTGAGAAAGGGTAAAAACCCGTGAGCCATTGTCCATTGCGGGTGTGGGACTGCCCTGAATGCACCTGAAGGCCCTGCAATAAAGAAAACTGATTTTATTCTCTGAATTTTGTCCAGCCCCCGTTTTTGGCAGTCRGATTGGGCATCATTCAAATGGATTGAAAAATATGCCGCTGTTTTCATCCTATGCACATCTTCTCCCACCTGGAAAAAGCCCTTGGTCARCTTCTGGCCCTGCAGTCACCACCTCCTCACACCCCAGGCCCTCATCTGTGCCAGGCTGTGAGATATTCCCATGGATTCCTGGGAGAAGCAGCTCAAAGGCCACAGAGACACGATGGCATCTGCACGGGAAAAGCCCGCTCAKCTTTCCAAGAAATCTGCTTCCCCCCGATTCTCGCTCGCTGCGCACATCCTGGCAGCCCGTAAGAGGAGGGGACTCATGGCCCTGCTGAGGCACACCACAGGTCCAGCAGGATGTGGTCAGCTCGCTTCCAGCATGCCCTTGGTTAGCAGGCTGTTGGCAAAAGTCAGCAGTRATGGGGAAGGGGAAGTCGGAGTGGGGAAGGGGCACCTCCAGAGGTGGTGCCACGCAGAACCTCATCCCATCACAGCCTGAGCACCCAGAGGCAGCACAGACACGGGGCTGGGATGAAGGACAGCCCACAGGGGCAGCCCAAAGCCCTCTGAGTGCCGCTGCAGAGCCCGTGGCCATTTGTTTGGCCGGCCACACAAACATGTCACACCCCAAGGGAGCTGAGAGCAAACCTGCCACCAGCCCAGTTTTGCTGGCRCTGAGTGACCTGGATAAAAAGCAAAGAGCCTTTGGGAGATATCCTTATAGCCTAGTTCACTGCATCTCTGCAGACACCTCCCTGCTCCTCCCAAAATTGCAAAAAAATACTCAAATAACTGCATTCCTCTCTACTACATTCACCATTCAGGAGTCAGGAACCACGTGCTCTGGATCCTGGTGTGAGCAAAATGCACGTTCTGGCCTCCAGATTGAGAAGCTTTTGCTCRGTTTTTCCTGGGAAGCCAAAATCCCAGCTGGTATAAATCCTGCCTGAGAACTACAAATCACCCTTTTTTTCCCCCTCCCTTCACACCACTTCAAGATGTTTTTTGAAGAAGTTTAAATCTCACTGTGCACACACAGATACAAGGGGAACACAAGAACCACTCTGGACATTAGCCACGGTTTGCCTTAGCTCCTAGGAGACCATTAGCAAAATAAATAACACCCRAGCCAAAATTTAGCTCTTCCTCGACACAGCAGTGCCCTTCATCAGCTACTTCTTTAAGTTACTTTTATGTAGTGGTTTTGTGCTACACAACTTAGTCCCAGTTGGCTGCAAACACRGGATTTGCTGTAGGAAGAGCCTGAGGCTGGAACAACTCAGCTCCCAGCCCTGACTCCTCCTGGAGCAGAAGTTGGGAAAGGAAACATCTTCACAAGGACAAGCTACTGTTCTCCCATTTTTAGGCAAACCCAAGGACAGATGTTTTCCACCACAATTTACTCAGCAAATTTATGTTCTCCACATAATRCAATGAGGCTACAGCACTGATAATTTCTCCACCATCCAAACAGCAACACCCAGCAGGAGCCTCCAACAGCTTTCAGCCTCCTTTCTCACCTGCAAGCAGCTGATGTGACCACGTTTGCAACCTGACCATGAGGTTTCCTTGCCCAACAACACTTTTTCAAGGTATTGGACAATGATCCAGACCTGCAGCCTTTAGAACAGGAGGTGAAAAACCTCCAGCAAAGCCCTGAGCAAGCCCCAGGACAGGCTGTGGGCCAGGACAGGATGATCTGAGCCTTGACAGGAAGGAGGAAGCCACTACCACAATTCAGCCCTTTGCAGGACACGCCCTCGTGCCCGTGTGGTCGCAGCACCTCGGCTTTGTTCTCTGCTGAGGCTGCACACATCTGCTCAGGGCATGGACASGGCTCCCAGGCCACTTCCACCTCCCTGGAGTGCCCCTGACCAGGGGTCACTCTCCATCCCGCTGGCAAGGCAGGGACGCAGCTTTTCAGGCCCCAAAAAGCGCCCAAGGCCATTCATGGCTCAGTGCATCCCACTTGAGGAGAAACAGAGACMGCAAGAAACAAATAAAACCTTTGACTTACACTATCTCATCGTTCTGGAACTCCAGCTCCCCGCAGGTGTCCTCAAAGTCCTCTCCTCCACCTTTGGCCGTGCCTTCGATGGTTTTGTAGGGCACGATGACATTTCCTCGCGCTCCAGAGGTTCGCAACACTTTCACTTCCATGGTTCCTACGCTTTCGCTGATGTGCGTCACCGGCTCCTCGAAGGTGAAGATGCCGGCGTGGTCATCGTCAAAAATAGTGACGGTGGCGGTAGACGGCGACCCCAAGCAGGCCAGCGTTGAGACCCGCCCCGCCTCCAGAACGCCCTCATCGGAGGCCTCGGTGCTCACACGGACGTTGCTGAGRTGGACCAGGAAGTTCTCGTCCTCCTCGAAGATGTCGTCGTCGATTATGCCGACGCGGATTTCCTTCTGGGTCTCTCCGGGCTTGAAGACCACCGTCCCTTCGGTGAACTCGTAGTCGGAGCCGGCGTTGGCCGTCCCGTCCTCGGTGCGGAAGTCGACGTACACCGTGTTGGTCAGGTCGCCGCCGCGGCGGATGATGGTCAGCGCCACGGTGCCGCAGTTCTCCARGCACTGGTAGGTGCCCTGCTCGAAGTAGAGCTTGCTGACGGGGTCGTTCTCGGTCACCTCGCTGTTGACCTCGTGCATGCTGACGGCTTTGCGGGCCTGGTCCGCGGCGTGCCTCTTCAGGATGTTGCCGGCGCCGGTCATGAGCCGCGTGGCYTGGATGCGGTAGAAGGCTCTGCTCTTCTGCTGCTGGCTCAGCACCTGGTAGTTGGCCAACTCTATGAGCTGCTCGACCTCCTTGTCCGGGTGCTTCTGTTTCAGCTCCTTCAGGATCCGAGCCATTTCCCTCCTGGCCTCCTCGTCGTCCTGGTCTTTCTCGTCCACCTCCAACACCAGCGTCCCGTCCAAGAAGTTCTCCACGTGGGAATTAGCGACCTTGCCGTCCATCTCGATGTCGGCCTTGGAGGAGGGCCGGTCGCCCTCGTGCTCGATGATCATCCCTCTCTGCTTGCCAGCGCGGTATTTCTTGTAGACGTACTTGTAAAACAAAAGCCTCCTGTCAGCAATCCAGGCAAACACCACGCAGATGGGGAAGAAGAAGAAGGTGAGCAAGCCTTCCCAAACCTCCACGATGCCGGGAGAGGACACGGACAAAATAATGTAAAGCCACGTGTAGGCGAAGATGCTCCAGGCCGCCGTGACAAARAACACTCGCAAGTGCTTGATCTTGCGGATCTCGCCGTCGGGCACCACGTAGACGCAGATGGCGATGATGACGAACATGTTGAAGGCGGCGCTGCCCACGATGGTGCTCGGCCCCAAATCCCCCGCTGTGAAGCCGTGGCCGCACACCTCGATGACGGACAGGAGGATCTCCGGCGCGGACGAGCCCAAGGCCATCAGCGTGAGGTTGGAAACGGTCTCGTTCCAGATCCTCACCGTGGTCTTGCTGGTCTCGCCGTTGGGCTTCTTGATGGTGATCTCCCGCTCTTGGGACGTGATGACCTCGATGGAGGACATGAAGCGGTCGGCTATGATGGACACTCCCAGGAACATGTACACCATGGCTACAAAATACACCGTGGCCCGAGCGATTTTGTCCCCRAACGAGGGGTCCTGGGGCTCCCATATGGGTAAAATCACGCCCTTTTTGCAGATGTAGGAGCCGGCGCACTCCTCGGTGTCGTTGCCGGGCAGCTCGCTGGGGCTCTCCGCCCGCGCGCCCTCCGCGTGGAGGAGCAGCAGCGCCAGGACGATGCTCAGGAGAGGGAAGCTCARCGGGAAGGCGCGTGCGTGCGTCACTCGCGACATGGCCGCTTCCACCGGGCGGGTCCCAAACATCCTCGACCTGGAGGGGAACAAAGGAAAGGTGGATTAGGTGAGGCCAGCCAGAGATAACAGGTTTTCCTCTCCAAATGTATAATCGAGCAATCCGGAATATCCATCCGATGAGCCCGTTTTGTCAGGATTACTCCTGTTTTCCATGTAGAAATCCTCCAGCTCTGTCACCTGAACCAGGATGGATTCCGATGCCACCAGTGAGCCAGCACCTACCCCCTTCAGCTACCATGATGTTTCCCTCCCTTTGCTGAAAACCTATTTGTTCAATTGCATTTTCTTGTTCCTCTAATCCAATTAAAGCCCATCGTTCTGCTTCACAGCTGGCAGAAGTGTTCCTCACGTCAGAATTACAGAGCACTCCCTCGCTGGAATTCAGGCTGAGAGCAGGAGAGGACAGGGAAACCTACTCTCCCCTCACCATGTTTTTAAAAAGTTTTAATGTTTGCCGTTTTAAACCACTGTAAGATATGTAATTCCCAGCCTTTCCTCGCTCAAAGTCCTCCCGAGGATCCGCTCCGCATCGGAAATCTGCGCAAAGTGAGCTCRAGCCCTGGCAAAACCTTACCCTTAACAGCAGCTTGGTCATAAGGTGCACCAGAAGGGCAGCCTGTAATTAATGATTTTGGAGCCATTCCTTCCACAGTGCATCACTTTGCACCTTCCCAAAACGGGAAAGGGCCCCATATGCATGGGAGCCCGGCTCTTTTGGCATGCTCCTGGAGGAAACGTGTCCCTGTGCTCTTTTCCCACTAGGTCAGCTCTGACAGCTTCCCCTTCAAGGGCCTTTCTCACTCCATTTGCAGCATCACTCATCAGGCGTGACAGCCCGACTTGCCCTCGTCCTGCCTCAGGATTTTCCAGCCATGTAGAGGAGCTGTTAAAGAGGTTTGCAGTTAGTTAACAGTGCATAAACCGACAGAACAGATGCCTTTAAGTACAAAGAGATGCTCAGTGGAAAAAAAAAAAAAAAAGAAAAAAAACCCAAAAAACCCCTGAGCATGCTCAGAGTCKCATTCTCAAATTTACTAGCCAATAAAAGCCAGATTCCTGGTTATTAAAGCTATATTTTTTYCCTCAAGGAGAGCCTTTGCTATACCACGCTTCTGCAATCCAAGACAATTTAATCAGATGGTACTAAAAAAATGTTTCTATGAAGAGAGGAAAACGAGCATGTCAATACCTTGACTTCAGTGGGAAATACAAAAAGCTGRGCTGATTTTGCTCATAAAAGCCCCACACCCTGGGAAGTTAAAAAAGAAAAAAAAAGAAAAAAAGAAAAAAAAGCTCAGCTATGAGTGGTTTTAACTCCTCGTTAGGGCAGGGGAAGGGCTGAGTGCAATGGGTACCATCCCACACCCCGGTTAAGTGATAGACCCAAAAAAAGACATTGTAATGGTGGATCAAAGCCCTCTCCTCTGTTTTSTTTTATTTACGGGTGCTGTAGAAGGATTATTGGTCTGGAAGAATRATACTGAGAATTTATCAAGGCACTTTCATATAAATGGCATTTTCCTCACCAGGAACTGCTGGTCTGCCTCCAACTGGTATTGCCTCCCTGGAGTTGTAATTAAGAAAATAAAAAGATACATAGTGGAGGACGTGAGCAAGTCAGAGAGCTGGATGATAACAGATAAACTGAACAAGAAAAAACAAATATACTATAGGGAGAGAGATTTAAAAGAATTTTTTTTTTTTTTTTGCATTGTGTATTTGAAATTTTTTTTTTTTTTTAAATTAATTTTTTTTTTTTTTTTTTTTTTTTTTTTTTTTTTTTTTTTTTTGCATTGGAAATGCTACCAAAAAAGCTCTTTCAGCCAGACTCACTGCTCCCCTGACAGTCCCTGGGTGACTTCTGCTCCCCAAAATGTGAGCTGTGGCCCAAAGTGAAAAAAAAATGCAAAGATGGTGATTGTAAAGAGAAGCACCTTGTTCAGTGGATGGCTAAGCTGAAACAGATGTGTGTTCACGGTCCCTGAAAGTCAGCTGAAGCATGAAATAGTCACCCAACATCTGCACTGCCGTGTTTCACACTGCTCCAAACCCAGCCATGGAGACATTTGATAAAGGGGCTGTCAAAACACTGCCTGCCTTGGTACCTACTCTGTTTATCCCAGATAGCTCCTAAGTGTGGTTTTTGTTCACTTTTAAAATATGCAGGCTTAACAAAATTCACTGTGGACATAAAATATTTCTCAGTTGCACGGTTCTTCACCCTCTCCTTCTACAGGGCAGTGGTTTCTTCAGAAAACTCAGGAGTGTCCACCTGTCCTTGTTCAGTTAATTTTTCTCCCTGTGGCAAGTCATATCCCTGCACATGTACAATTATTCAGAGCAATCAGGCATTGTGAAATCCCCTTGGCAAGAAGGGRAAACAGATGGTTCTAGAAAAAAATATTATGCTTTGGGTCACTGATTTAGGTCATGAAGAATAGGAGAGTCCCATCACACTTTTGGACCAACTCTACAGCCTTAAAAACATTTGGGTGCAGGAAGTCTCATTCACAAAACAAAAGACACCCACAAAATGAAATAATTAAGTAATTTTAACATTATTTACCATGTTTTTCTCCTTTCAAACGTTCTAATATAAGCTGCTGTTGGTTTGTTTATTTGTTTGTTTGTTTTAAAGCAAGTCCCATAGTACGTGGAACAGGAGGATAAAAGGCCTAGAGGCTTGCATCTGAGCAATCCGTATTTCTGGCACTCCCAGCCAGCACTCCATGGACAAACAAATATTCTTCCCTCAAATGTCAGGAGGTAAGAAATGGGGAGCTTTTCTGCAGAGGGATGAAAAATGGCTGGAATTCTGGAAAAGAACCCACCAGCCATGCCAGTGTGCAGCAGCAGCATTCCCCAACCCTATTTTACTTTCTCCAGAATTTTGTGGTGCGTTCATCAAGCACAATCCACACACCATGGTCACATTTCCTCCTTAAACCAATTCACAGCGAGGCTCAGGGAATTACCAAGGGCTGGAAAATGCTTAGCCCCAACATGCCAATTACACACATGCAGCCAGGGCCTGACACTCAGGATATCTCTGAGAAGCTCCTGCTATTAAATCATCAGCAATTCTTCATTTGTACAATCCAAAATAAACAGCTTGGTCCCCTGAGACCCTCTCGCTCTGCATTTAGCTCAGCTCATGGTCAGCACACTGTGGCACAGGAATATTCCCAGAAAAACTGGGAAAAATTCTGTAGGGAGGAGCAACGCCACCTGAAGAGCAGCTCTTCCTCCAAACCAAACTCTGTTAGCTTTTCATTAAGGTGCCTCAATTGCATTTCCCATCCTGCCCATCAACAATGAAAGCAAGTGCAGTGGATGATGCACAGCGTGCTGAGCTGGCAGCCCCAGCAAACCCTGCCTGGTGGCCTTGGTGGCATTGCCCCGGTGCCTCTGGGGTCACAGAGATGGTGGCAGCACCGGGCAGAGGAGCAGGCTGTGCCCAAGCTCGGTGCTGGCCATACAAAAAACCCCAAAGCACCACGCTGGGCCACCACCTGATGCCCAGGGACAGCGCTCTGAGCCCTTTGTGCCACTGCAGGAGGGGAACTGTCCTGGTGCTGCTGCTGGAGAGCCTTCAGGGAG